GAAGATTCAAAAAGCGGTAAGCGAACGAATCGATGGTAATATCGACACAATCTGTTCTACGGGTTCATTCAGCTATTTGGTGAATACGGATTTGTACTGTGAAATTGAAACAGCTGATATTACATGTTTAGTGTTCCGACAGACTACGTGACCTACATTCCTCGGTAGCGTACCTCGGAATTTCCATGCAAATTAAAATTTCTTCCGGCCATGTGATCAGTTCCAGCTGTTTCGAAGTAGAATGAATGAACGAGAATTTATTTTTTCGGAAAAATGCTCCCTTTAGTGATGTCCATTTGTAACTGCACATGAAATCTGAAAATTTTAGCTAGCACTTTGAAGCATTTTTGCAAAATTAATAAATGTGTTTTGATGAAATCGGTGCATGTGTGCACATTTGCCTGAGCTGCCTGCTTCTCTTTTTAGACTGATTTGAAACATGAAAGTTTTTTAACGTACAATTTTTCAAAACTTAGTCTCCGAACGTGGATTGGTTCAAAATTCAGTAAACGCATGCGCCCCTTCTCAGACTAGGATCTTAAATCGAGGACGAAGACAGTCGGTAATTTAGCCTGTTTTGTTCAAAAATTCGAATCAATGGTTTTGTTCAAATTCGAATTAATTTTATTAATTCAGGATGAGGTAAGTTGTAAATTCAAAATTCTCAAGCTCTAGTGCTTGGGATAGTGCAAAGTGAACGGCCTGAGACACGCTCTTTTCAATCTAACCGAACTCTGAATGATGATTTGTCATCTGAACAAACGCTTCAGCTACAATTTCTGAACTGAGCATACTACGAATTTTGATTTTGCTCCTTCACGTATACTGCATTATGGGCCAAAAAATGTCACAGCAAAGTGTAGTCATTTTTTTATTGTGTTCACAAAAATGCATTGCGCAACTGGGGAGACTTTTTGTCTTCAGGAGCGATGCTATGTATGTGAATTTCGTAAGTACCTGATAAGTTGTTTAATGATAAAACAATGTGTTTTGTGCATTTCTAACCAAAATTTTGAAATGATCGCCGCTTGAATGAATGATTCGTGCATGCTTCCAGAGCAGTGAAAAATCGAACTCAAAAACTGTACAACAAATTGTGGTCGAATTAATTCCATTTCTAAAACAAGCACTGCGCACTTTGAAAAGCAATGAAAAATTTCCTGCCGGTGCCGAATTCA